TGGAATATTAGTTTTTAAAGTTAGAAATCTTTCATGATCGTACAAATATTAAAACACTTGCATTTGCTCTATTATTATGTGTATAAGATAATGGTTGTATAAGATTTCTCTGTTGTGTGTTGTTAGCACTTCGTCTTTAGACATACAGTTTGAATATTATCGCGCCTTATGCCTGTATGAGTGTTTGTATACAGACAAGTGTTAGCATCTATACACAAGACTGCATGTATTGTGTGGCTGCTGTGATCAGTCTATCCATGCTGTGGAGAGGTTGAGCTCCATAAGCGGTACACTCCCTCTTTCCAGTCTTCCCCTGGTTAAATAGCGTCCTATTAACAGGCCGCTGGCAATTTTCCGCCTGGCTAAACTGTGCTTCACATGTCAGTGACTGCACTGATGATGTCTGTGTGCAGGACATCACTATACCAGCACTGCTGTACTGATGGTCTCTGGTCTCCTGTCACTCCCACACCAGCAAAAACACATGGTACCATTTATGTTTCACAAAGCCCCAAGGATACGAGGGACGAGGAAAATGTACCAGGCCGAATGCATACATTTATTATTCAGTGATAGCGGCTGTGTTCTCTTTTTCAGCTAAAAACTGTAGCAGCGTGTACTATGCTGCCAGATCGTGCAAAAATATAGAGCTGCAAAGCTATACCTTTCAGTGTTGATTCTCAGTTGGTTTGGCACTACAAGTAACCACTTAAACAATACACAAAGCTGTTTGATTCAAGACACTAAGCATTCTGCATGTTCTTTGGCTTCTTGAATCTGAAATGTCATTCTTGTGGTCACTGCCCACAGCTCATGACCATAGAGGGAGTTGGAACATAGACAAACTCACAATCAGGCTCCAGCTTTCACCCTTCCACAGTGACTGTCTGGTACACAATGCGATCTTATTCAAAAAGCTTACCCTCAACTGGTAACACGACTCTAATCTGAAGGGGGCATTGCACTGTACCATGGATAATGGCTCTCATTCCAACCACTTCACATTTTGCCTACACAGTGCAGACTTGGGGTCACAGTCCAGTAAAGCCAGCAGAACTACATCATTTGCAAAAAGCAGACAACCCTGAGATCATCAAAGCGTAGACCCTTCTTGGCTGAGGTGATACAGATTCGTTCCATGAATACCACAAACAGAATTGGTGACAAGGAACAGCCTCAGCAGAGTCCACAGCTCTACAAACCTGCTTGACTCACTTTGGAGAACATTTTTTTATTTATTTTTTTTATCGTTTTATTTTTTTTTATTACAACATTTATTGTTGTAATAAATCAACCAAATGGCACATAGCTACACAACCAACAATCTATATGCCCATGGTATCTCTAAGACAACCTTTCTGCTAATGAGGCCAGACTTAGATCAATAAAACATTATTTAGCTCAACAGCACCTCCTACAACTACAGCCGCCAAAATAACCATAAAGTGGAATCAGTGCTTCGCTAAAACAGCTCCAACAAAAACCCAACATCATAACCTTCATGAAGGTAAGATATATTGGAAAGCTGTTGTATAAGACTGAATTAGTTTCAGCTAGGTGTCCCTCATAAACTAAGTATTAACATTATAAACTTCCAACTTAAGTAATTCATGTATGACTAAAGTGACTTTTCTTTGGTTGATAGAGCCATTTGTAAAGCATGAACCTTTTTTTTTTTTGACTGTGATTAATTGTACAGCCCAAAGCCAGAGGAGAAAGCAGACGATTAGAAATCATCCTGTCAGCCATTTCCTGCCCTGCTGTCCTCTGTTTGGTTGTTTCTGTGGGGCAGTCGTGACTGCAGCAAACAGAGCTGCTCTGCAGTGCAGTGCCGAGTTATTAGACACACACTGTCGTCCCCATGAGCCTCTGCTCAACTCTGACAGGGACACCAGGACAAGACACCACTGTCAACCTTATAACTTCTTTTTAGTCAGCCATGTTGAGACTCTGTGAATTATGTTTCTTCATCCATTCTATACAGCCTGTCTGGGGCAATGTGATTGGGCTGCATTTGTTCGCTTACTTTTTTCAGCCTTCCTTCTTTCATTTTTCAAGCAAAATATCTTCGACATTGATGGCTAATTTGCCTCATCTTATTAGTTAGATTTTTTTCTAAATAAAGCTGGGCACTGTGATTGTTTATTAATCTTGTACTTTGTGTTAATATACTACACATTTATTCTTTCTTTCTGTACGACCAGAACCTGCAACCTTTATGCTGCCATTGTACGGATCATTTGACCCGTCCCACCTGTCAATTCTGCCCATAATTCAAGTTCATTCAAACAAGACACCAGCATCCTCAACAATGTTGGCCAAAAGAGAGAAGGGCAGCAGTAGTTTGTGCAATTGAACAGAGAGTAAGAAAAAGGAAAGATATGGAGCGGCATATAGCTGAAGATGCAGACAATATGGTCTGTTTTACATCACAGCTCAGTCTCACTCAAGATTACAGTTTAGTCCCATATAAAATGCTACTCTGCTAATGCTAATATTAAAACAAGCTCACTACAGTTTATAACAGATCACTGTACAGCAGCAACATGGGAACTGTGGATCTGCTCAGACCGTAAACAGCCGACTGAAATTTGGGACATACCAGAAATCCAACAGATTGTCCTAGAACCAGATTGTTCAGCATAGTATCGTGACTAGATGTCAAATGACCACCTATTTGGCAGAAACTTTTTTTTTTTAATTAGCCAGGGGCATATTAGTCAATACAGTGCA